CTCTGTTGGCTTCTTTACCTTCTCCACTAAACGAACCGCGAAAGAAGCACACCCCAGAACTCTGACGGAGGGAAGGAGGAGTTGCGGCAGAGTTACCACCCATGCCAGGATATTACCTAAGCTCACTTCATGCTAATAAATCTTGTTCTTTCCCGAAACAGCCCAACCTTTTCAGAAGTTTTCAAAGCACCTGCAGCCTTACAGGTTTCCTGGAAAGGAAATCCCTTTTTCACTTCTGAAATGAACCCCAAAATGGGGAAGTCATAGGAAGGTACCTGGGTAATGTTTTTAAAGTTTGGTAATCTATTCCTGAGTGCTCCCACATGCACAGCATAGGCTTCTCACGGAGAAGCCGGTGAAGAAAATCGCTCTGATGATTGAAACACAAGTTCTGGTTTCTCTCCCAGGAATATACTCAACTGCTGAGCTATGTTTTAAATAGTTGTCTGGCTGCACTTTAAGAAATGTTTTTGGCATGTTCACAGCTCAATTAGTATAAATTTTGATTGGAAGTTAGATGTTCAAATCAATAGTAAGGTTATTGAAATTGCGCTGAGTATTTCATGTGAGGAAGGGTAACTGTAGGTAGTTGTAAGTATTTTCCATATACAAAATACTGCTGGTTTTTGCTTGGTAATGTACCAAGGTGCTACAAAACAGGAAAGAAATAAGCTCTTTAAAACAGGGACCTGCTGTCTTTATTGACAAAGCTTGTTTACATTTGTTGAAGATAGAAATCCCTGTTACAATTCCATACGTGGCAGTTTGGGAGACAGGCTTTTAAAGTTACATAAATCCCTGGGTTTGTTTCCTACATATTGTTGTTGTTCAAGACAAACTTTCGGTGTAGTATACTCATAGGATTTTTTCAGGTTTAGAAATTTTTTAGTAAGAATGGTTTTTAATTATTTTTTATTTCCAAAACACAAATCAACCTTGAAGACATCGAAGGTTGTATAGGAGGTGAACCTCAAACAGATATGATGCCATGGGAAAATGATGAGAAACTGTATTTGGGTTCAGGGCTGTTGGTTGAATGCATTCAGATGCTAAGGTGTAAGAGCCTTCTACAGGTTTACCTGTGCTTGCTTTTATTTTAACGACGATGGTATCCCACTGCTCAGAGCAGGGTCAGAATTTGTGGCTCTTGTCAGGCGTACGCTGGATGAAATTCTCATAGCCTTAAACGATAACTTTGCATCGCGCCAGACAAACCAGAGGTAACGGCTCAAACTGGCAAGAGTCACATAATGTACCGAAAGAAACGTTAAGGCAGAGTCCAGTGAGAAGAATGTGTTAGCAGAAAGGTTGCTGACAAACTCGTGTATTTTAACCAACAGAACTGAAGCTGATTATTTTTGTAGCAGTGGGGCGTGAGCCTGGGACTGAGTAAAGAAGGAGCATCTACAATTGAGAGGGTAGATCTTTCATTTTCTGTTTAAGTACATCACAATATAGCTTTTTTTTCTTCGATTTTGAAATTAAATTTTATCACATTGATCTTATGGAATATAAACTATTAATGTTATGGACTAAGATAATGTCAGTAGCTAGTTGGTACTAGTTGAAATTAAGGTAGAGCAGTCTTCAATCCTTTTTTGAAATTTGTAGGACTTCGGTTTGGAGAAGAGCAATTTTTGATTTTATGTGTAGCAGTTGGTTTGTTTTAGAAAAATAGAAAGGAAACCATGAAATATAAATGTGCTTCTTCAAGATTTGATAGCTGAAGAGAGGAGAACATAACTTCAGTCAGCACTTATGGATGAAGGTTAGTGACCCTCTGCAGTTCAGGAGTTCAGAAACCGTTTCAAACATTGCTATGTTATGAATTTGAAATGGGATTCTAATGAAGAAGAATCGTTGAAAAGTAAACTGAAACCCTTAGAAGGCACATAGAAGGAGTAAAGATCTTCTCAGAAGCTAAAATGGGTACCACATGCTCTGGATGTTTGCATGATGTTTTTCCTTGAAATTGTTGTTTTCTTTTTCATATTTTTTTCCACCTTTCTGCCCATCTGTTCCATTTTCCCCTTGCTTTCTGTTGGATTCTATTTTTCTCTATTCCATTCTCTATCATTTACCTTTCCTTTGCTATAACAACCTCACTTGAATGAGAACTGATCTGGGAAAATCAGTTCACTGCAATTAAGACACCATTTGTCAATAAAATTATCCTATTCAGAGATAGCTCAGTGATTTATTTTTTTAAATGTTATTGAGAGGAAACAAACATTTTCTTTTTCTCCTCTCAGCCTTCTCTACATTATCTGTGATACTAGTACTGCTAAAAATACCAACCACTGACTTTGACCCTTTTGGGTTTTTTTGGGGTGATATCTGTTCCATCTCCTGATTCATACCCTGTTTTTAATTCATGCTGCATTGTGATATACCGGATAAATCAGTTAATCTTTCTTATATTTACACGTATTGGGAAAGTCATAAGGATTAGGTCCTTAACCAGGGGAACCTCGGTTGAACTGTACCATAAAATGTGAAAATGGTTCTTTATCTAAAGATTATATGCTGCCCTTGACTTTTGCTCATGCAAACACCTTTCCACGTGTACACCTAAATACTCCTAAAATATAGACCCTTAAATGGTGTAACTCGAACAATGCTCACTCAGTGTTCATAATTCATTTCATGTAGGTGCATATAGATCACTCTCAATTCCCTTCAGGAGATAACCACAGCTTGGTAAGCATTTACTACAGCAACGATTTTACAACATGTTTAGTCAAATGAAAATATATTGGTGTTCGTATTAAGAGTGTCATTATAAACTGTTAAGTAAAAATTGCTAATCATGCTAATGTTGAGAATCATTGCTAGATAACTGTTCATTAAAATAATTTAAAAGGGATTTTTGGCCTCAATATAAAAAAGCTGCGGTATTACATGTGGTTTTTATATTTTTGCCTCAAGAGTGTTAAGGAATTTCTTCTATCATGCTTCACCCCTTTGGGGACTTCTTTAAAAAAAAAAAAACAAACACCAAAAAACAAAAAACAAAGAAACTCCACCAAACAAAAAACCAAAACAACACAAACACCCACAAAAAACCCCACTACCAAAACCAAACAAAACCCCCAACCTAAAAACCCCAGCCCCTGCCCCCAATCATTTGTATACAATGTCTTAATTCTGATATCATCTGTGTATAATCACTAATATGTCATTTTGTGGATTTAGGCTTATTACTAGCTTACCTTTTCTGTAGCTCTCCCAGATTTCTCACTGTCTCCTTCATAATGGAGATATTTAAAGCAAACTGTGGTTAAAGGCTATTACATAGAAAATGCAGTATATGCTTCTGTTGTCTACATTCAGTGTACAAAAATCTTAATTTTCGTACTAGATTTGTGAGGGTGAAGCACATAGCATGGATGCGTATTTGTGTCTATGTCTTCAAGGAAAAATATGTGTCGGTAGATCGTTTGCTTTTTTGTTGTTCTGCTTCCTGTAGAGAACGTTGCTGAAATATGTGTAATTTTTTTTTTTTTAAGAACAAATGTAACTACTGAAATTTTAATGAATAAATCAGTCAAGTATCCATCAGTACTTTTAATTTCTGAGCTGCCCTCCTTACCAAACGTTTCTACTATTACCCATCTTATGCTTCTCTAGCTTTTTCTTATGTGGGGGGATAAATCTTTAAATTTATTTCACTGAGGCAAAAGCGTAATTGAAACACATTGGGATCAATACAAACTATATAAGAAGCCATGAATTATTTTTCTAGCCCACTAGGTACTGATATCTAGGCACTGGTATCTCATGAAATACTCTAATAATTTTTCTTCCGGTGAGTAAGTAAATATTTCAGCACAGAAAGAAAAACAGGTTTCTCTTTTTCCCTGCATTCATTTCTGTATGAAGAATTTTTTGACCCTTCTTTCACTTTTTCCCCTCAGACTCATCAGTCATGATCTTTTGTATTAGATGTGTACGGAGTAGTAGCACAACTATGGTTTCAATATAAAGGAGTACACACCTGCAGAAATGAACTGAATTAGAGTAGTTATTTTCCCTAAAATGCCTTTTTCATATTTAAAAAAATGAGGGCTAGATTTGTAAAACACCTTCAGCAGGTCACTAACATGATGGACTTCTGAGACCCTTCAGATGTTCAAGGATCTATCTCAGTTGCTGGGAGGCTTCCCCCTCAGAACAGGTAGTTTGTGCGACTTCTCTCTTTAAATTCTAAATGCCAAAAAAATTGTGGGTCAAATTAATGTTTATAACCTTTAAAATTGTAAGGTCTGTTTTTACTAATATTCATATAATACAGGAGCAGTAGGAGCAATTCCATAGAACTTCACTGTTTTAGTTGAAATGTTTTTTCATGGCTCCCCCTCACGTAGCCCGTTGCGACGCGTCGTTAGTCGCTGGGTGCTTTCACCCACGTGCGTCTGGGGGGCAAGGTGAGCTGGTACATTTTTCGGTTGGGTCCTGGATTGACTTGTTTGGGGTTGGAACCGTTTCAGTTCAATTCCCATTTAGGTCAAAAGGGTTTGCTAAGACCAGCTGGGTTTACATGGGACAAGATTTTTAAAGGTGAAAACAGTCAAAGGACGGGGTGTCCAGGCAGCACGAGGCTCTGGGAAGGTGGCTCTTGCTCTTCTGTACCGACTTAGGCGTCAGCAGTGTTTCCAGTTTTCCATCAGATCTTTCAGATTGTAACACTTCACTGAGGGAAAAGGTACGAAAAACCTTCCCGCTGTGGTCTGCGGAGAAGGTGCAGAAGCCCCGCGGAGGACGGGGGGTTTAGCGAGGCTCGCGCTCCCCCGGGGGAAGCGATGCGGCGAGACGGACGTGCGAGGGGAGGCTGTGTCGTGCCGCGGCGTTGCAGACCTCCGAACACTAATGCTCCCTTAACCAGCGAGGCTCTGCTTTAAACTGTCAGGTTTTTGTTGAACCATTTACCCTGAATTGGCAACCAGAAATATTTTTCTTGGTTGAGGTTCCATTCTAGCTCAAGCTGTATAGCAATCGGTATGAGTTCTGATTCCGTTTTGATTTATAGCCAAAGGCTTGATAGACGTGCATGCAGTTCTGAGGAGGGAAGCAAAAGCGTGCGCGGCTGTCGGCTCTGCGTATCGTCAGTGAGAGCCTGTAGCTCGCTTGCTTCCTGATGGAAAATGTTTTGAAAATATACACGTGTACCAGTGTCTGATAAATCAAAGAAAATGAAAGTCATGTATTGAATATTCTGTGACAGATGATTCTTTGACTAATGTTTGGTTGTACATATATGAATGTTCAGGCAGGCTAAATAAAAACTAGCAACAATTACTTCCATAGTTAAAATATTCAGAGCTATAAAGAAAATTAATAAAACCTTAGAAAGGCTATAATGTCTTTTCACAAGAGAATGTCTGCAGCAAACCCCTATATAAATTAAATTTTTCGAGTAGCTGTGTTTTAGTGTAACCCCTTTTTTCCCTTCAGATGATAGTGGTAAGGAAAAACAACTACTACAGGGAGCTCTGAGTATTACTAAGAGGAAAAAAATACTACTGAATTGCTGTCATTTGGTAAATATTCTCTAATAGCAGAAAAATCTTCTTGTGATTATGCATCATATTAGGGTAGTATGCACAACACTTCAAATCTGCTAAGTAAAACAAGCCTAATCTCTATTTTTGTAATCCTTCATATTGGATGCATTTTTTAGAAATTCCTTTTTATTTCAGTTGCTTGCAATCAAGTGCATTATTAGGAAATACCTCCTATTTTAATCTGAAGAAAGATTTGAAAAGGGCTCCTACATGCAAAATAAGGTTCAGTGTGAAAGCAACTTTACTTTGTGTTCTTTCAAAATTGGAATGGGAGCTGCAGGGTGCTGAACGCTAGTGGGAAAAAAAATGACCTTTTTATTTATTTATTAGCAGTTGAGCTGTTTTGAGAGTTTTGTACCACCAATCATGGATGCTGAAGGTTTAAAAAAAATTGGTCTTTTTTTTTTTTTTTTAATCTGGATAATTTATTTCTGTTCTATAAAGTATCATAGCAGATATCATGTGGTAACAATGAATTACACAATTCTCAAACAATCTCTCTTGTCATACTGGAAGGAACACTTGGATTTAAAGATGTTATCTATTATTTCAAAAATACACCTTTTTGTTTTCCCCCCCCCAGCGCCTTGTTGAAGCTGCAGAAGATGCTTACCTGAAACATGAGTTTGATGCTGACTTACAGGTAAGTAATAATTGTTTCCCTAGGTATTTATCATCAGAGTGTACTATAACAGTTTATACGATAGCTTGCTTGAAGAACTGCTGTAGAAAGCCGAGCAGGTGAGTAATGGAAGGATGCTGATTATGAAAAAGGGAATTAATGAAGGCTGGCTCAGTGTTTTGACAGGTTACACATTTAGTGTTTGTGTGTGGGGAGACCAAGCAGGTGGATTTTACTCTTTTAGAGATTTCATTTAAATTCCCTGCATGTCTGCTTAGGTCAAGATTTTCAAACACAGTAATTAGCAGCATGTTTCATCGTTGCAGTGTGCTGGCAAGGAATTGTTCTATAGAGAGTTGAATTTGCAGATGGGGTGGGACCCACGGGGATGGGATTAGTACGACCTTGATTTGTGCAAATGGTTTGCATTTGGATCTGTGTCTAGAGCAGACACCATTTTTTTTCTCTTACCTAGAAGCCCATGGAACCATACCATTATTGTCTCAAAATGTTGCCTTTAGGAATAACATGGGAGAGAAAAGCACTGTGGCAGCTCACAGTTAAAAATGTTTAAAAGAAAAACCTTTGCTTAAATAAGACATATAATTAAAAAAAAAAAAAAGCTTAATTCCTATATCCTTATTTTCTTGAATGCTGTGTTAGATGGAGTTTTGTTTACTTTGTCTCTATCTAGATTTAATTTTAAAACCTTCTATGACTATTTGCCATATGTCCATTTAAATTTAGAGCTTAAGCATTAGGAGAAACAGAGACTTGATCCGTAGACCTTTTCGCACGCATTTATCTAAGAAGTACATAGATGTATCTTCAGATTTTACTGTGGTTACTTTCAGTAATCACAAAATATTTTATTTTAATGAAAATTATTGATTTCTGTGCAGAAAGAAAAAAGAAAGAGAACTTTTCAGAGATAAAGATAAAAAAATTGAGTTTAGAAGGTGGTGATACTGAGATCTGCCAGCTGGTGGTGGAATAAGGATAAAATAAGCGCCCTGAAAGTGATAATTAATACTATTGTTGTAGTCAAGGAATGCTGGCTTCTGTATTCAAATGCTTCAGAGTTCTATTACATTCCAGCCCTGCAGAAGTGTGCTGCATTTTGTTTTTGTGAACTTTAAACCTTGGAGAAATAGGAGCTATTGTCTGAATAAATCATAAATGCACTTTATGGAAGATTTTTTTTTTTTTTTTAGAGGTCTACAGTAAGTGCTTCTTCACTGCAGGAGAGTTCTCACTTTGACGAAGCCCTTCATTTGCTGAGGCTTTGAAGGTATTAACACTTTCCTGAAACCAGTTAAAAGCCATTTCTGTGGCGGCATTAACAGGACAATCAAATCTTTGTGTAGAGCTCCGTTGTTTATTACTGTCATGGTCCATTAAAGCTAATCAATTGTTAATCTTGGTTTCAGCGACCCCTTTGCAACCCTTGCTGGGTGATTGTTGTTCTTTATCAAAAATCTCATCATACCATCTGCTCAATATGAAATAAAGGCCAGGATGATTTGATAGTGTACGTTCAAGTGGAGGGGGACAGAAGGCTTACGTAATATACAGTGTATACAATTCTGCTATCGGAGAGGATTTTTTTGGCATTTGTATTGCCTCGGCTGACGTGTGGAAGACGGGATTAAATGCTTTGAATTAGTGGTATGTGATACAGCACCAGTCTGCGCTCTTTGTGCTCAGATATTCTGGAAATTCAGAAAGCACATAAAGAAAGTGCTTTTGTGCTTTTTATTGGTCCAACATCACCTTCTATGTCTTGAGGACAAGTATAGATAATATTGTGTCAGTACATAAAAATGATATAAGGGAGAAATAAAATTATATTAATATTTTTATTGACTGTGAAAAAAACACCAACTTAAAGAAAATAATAACTGGAAGAGCTCATCCTTTAGACTGCTGGTATTCTCTTCAGCAATGCTGAAATGTATTATTTGGTTAGGCTAGACCTGATCCCTTCTGGGCATTTTTCTTAGTAACATTATTAGTTTTGTCCTTAGTTATTCTATAGGTATTTTAATCAATATACTGTAATGCTGCGTAATGGTTAAGCACTCAGCTATCTATCCCGGGACTGAATCTATTGGCACCACCAACAAAAACCTTGTAGTTATAAACATAAATAAAATTCCCAGTGAATTGAAAGAAATAAATCAAAACGGGTGATATGATGTTTAACTCATCAGTATTACATATTGCATGTTTGAGTAATGGTCAAACTACGAGTCAGTGAGAGCTGACTTTAAAGGTTTACCCTGCAGTAATCTGGCTTTGGGAGACTCTTTTTTCTGTTAGGGATGTGAACCAAGTGCTGCGGTTTTAGCAAGTTACGGGGAAGTAACCGTCTAAGTGTTACTTATATTTGAACCTCTAACCCAGTCCAGGGTTTCTGCACCTGGTGTATATGGTTTCAAGCTATTCTGTGTTATCAAAGACTCTTTTCAAGTTGTTGCTAAGTGGAATTGCTATCTTTAATCATGCCTAATAATTTATTTGGGGATATAAGCTAAATTACTATTTGTATTGCTACGGCAAGTTGCCTTGTCACAGCGTTTCCATAGGCTTAAAGAATTGCTCATTTTGCTTCACACAGGACACTGTCTCTGTGCTTGCCTCTGTTTAAAATAAAGTAATTCCTCCGGATTTTATGGCTTTAACATAATGAAAAAACAATGTAGGGGCCAATTGCCAAGCGCTGACCCAGCAAGAGTATTGGATGTTACAGGTTTTGAAGTGATTCTACAACCGTCTTTTAGTTTTGTTGACTTAATTGTTTGCCAGAGAAAAATTTTGGGGGAAAGATAAAAAAGAGGGTAACATCTTCTGTTGGGAGGTGGTCTATTAAAAAGAAATTTTAAATAATTTATAATTATTTTTGTTAACTGAAATTTGGCCTCCTGGTAATTTACTTCCTTTGTGCTTGGGTATGTCTTTCCTAAGACGTGAACTGCCTCGTTATGATTCGCAGAAACACCGAGGTGGAGTTTGTGTTCAGACCCCTGGAAGAGGGGAGGCTCTGAAGTAGAAAATTCTTTCCTGGAACTGTCATATACCTAAGAATTTGTTGTGTATGCAGCTGATACAACCACACAGGTTTAGAGGCTTTCTCCTCCCACCACATTTCCTCAAACCACTGGAAATCGGACAGATTTTGTCGTGTAAAAATACACCAGCGTGACACCCAGCTGCTTTTCTTACGCTGCTACCAGCGAGGTGGTAAAGCACACTTAAACTGCAGTCACGTGGTCTGTGCTGGCACCTAAGTCCTCTAGGATGTCGTGCTATTTATGGGATTGTATCTGAGCTTTTAGGGTAGAAATGCATAGAGTATTGTTACCATCTGAACAGAGTGAGGGCAAGATCTCTATCATAGTGTTGTATTATTTCTGGTTTTTTTAATAATCTTGGGAGGTGGATGCTCAGCACTGGAACTGATGCTGGAGTTCTCAATGGTGCAAGTAAAAGTAACTTGCACTTTGTTTCTTACAAGCTTTAAAAAAAATACATTAATTTTTGGATCAATAAAGATTTATAATACTTGGTTGCTACCCAGTTTTCATACTTTTGGCCCAAATGACAGGAGGAAGTCACACAAACTTTCGTTATGACTACTGGTTCATTTGCCCAGTGGTTTCATTATACACACACATTTGCAGGGTAGTTCTTTTATTTTCTTTGTGTTAATTAAGTTCATTAGTTGACTCGCCTTGTATTCCAGCCGAGTTCTCTCTGCCTGTCTGTGAAGTGATAATAAAAAAGCAAGGCTATGTCTTTTTAATAGAATCAAGGCTAGTGCATAGTTGGTGTCACCTGCACTACTATATGGGTTTTTTTGGCTTGTTGTGGTTTCACTTTCTAGAGGAGCTAGGGTAAGTTCAAGTGCCAATACTTGAAGATGGTCGCCCTTATTTCGGTTTTATGTCACAAGGCTAGAAGAGGATTAATCAAGAACTTTTTAGGAAAGGATTACCTTCTTTTTAGAATACTCTTAATTTAGTGGCATAAAAAAGGAATAATGTTATAAGGCTGCTTTTCATTATTCATTTTTTTTAGATCTATAACGTATGGCCAAGTCTTAAGGAAGAGGTTTTCAAAACTATACCAGTTAGGTACCTGTCTGCCAGATTTTGCAGGCTGTTAACTCCTAATTGCATTTCATGTCCCTGAAAATCTCATCCTTTCTCTTAGAGTATATATGTTGTCTCTAGGAAGAAAAAAAAAATAGTAGTCAAGTGAGCAGGTGGTTATTTAAGGATTTTCCAGTGGTTTACACAGGTGAACGATGTACTTTTTAATGCATATTTAATGATTTTTTTTAAAAGCTTACAAAAGGTGACACTTCAAAGGTTTAGGAGAAAGCACAAATAGCAGAGAGGGCTGGGGAATAGAATTAGTCCAGTTCATAGACTCTACAACTTCTGGGTCTAATCCTGCAACTGTTAGTATTACTTGATAGTTTATTGTTGTCTTTCAAGGGGAGCTACCTGACTTTTAGTAATTTTGAAATTCAGCTGCTAGATATAGAGCTTAAATATAGACATAAAAGCATAACTTACATTGTTGCTACTTTTTAAAAAAATTCTGACCTAAATGCTTATTTAGTATAGTGATGCCATGCAAAACTTTATAATGATGGGTTGCTAATGCTTAGGTATTTAATTAAAATTTAATCAAATAGATGTTACTTATATTGATACCAGTTACTGGAAAATACGAGAAAAGATAATTGAGAATAGCTAGTCTACACAATCTTATCAAACTGCTATTACAACACATGTATTACTTTCATGTTAGTATTTCAGAAAAGTCTGTTTACATATTTATTACCTCACTTATTTTGAATGGGGCACATGATAACTAGATTTACAGTCTATCGGTGTTAATATTTTTTGGCTGTTAGAATAACGTCCACAAGACTGAAATGAGCTCTTGAAGTGTCCCAAATGTCTGCAATGGAAAGGGAAGTCTGTTGGACTTCAAGCGCTTGGAACCAA